AGGGTTGGACACAATGGACATAAAACATTCATTCAATATCATCACTTAGAGCCAGAAAACCGATTCATTCAGGGCGACAAAGCTGCTCCTCCTAAGGAAGCCGTTCCCGTTCTGACCCAAAGCTCATGTCAGTCGGGGTTCAGCTTTAATTCTGTCAGTATCACCACTGGTCCAAGTAATCCACCAGTTACTGTACCAGTGGCTGAGGACTTGGGGAGTCTAACCACGTGCCCTTTAAGAATTGGCCTGTGGTGAGAGCAACACCCCAAAAGGTCACTCCATTTTTAGGGAGGACATGGATTCAAGCATTCTGTTTTAGGGCATAAGAATTTGACTAAAAGGAAAAGTTTATTTTTATTTTGTAAAGGAAAAAGTGCAAGTATAATATTCTTACAGGAAGTCATTATAAACATGAAGATAGCATCTTTTGGTCTAAAACTATGGGGAGAGAAGCTTCTTCCTGTCATGGCTCCTGAAGGTCAGCAGGGGTCGCTGTTCTTAAAAACCTCCAGGTCAGATCATGTCCAGTAAAATGGATGGAAATGGTCACTGGTTATTCCTCACTGTCTGTTTGCATAACTCACAACTTATTTTGTTTAATATAGATGGTTATAATAATCTAAACCAGAACAAATGATTGCTGGAGGAAACATCCCTAAACTTGGATCACCTGAAATCATTTTACTTGACACACAATATAATCGTTGGGAATCTCGACTCGTTCCAGATGAACTTTATGATAAATGACTTTCTAAACATAACTCAAGTTACCCAAACAAAATATGTCTTTTAGAACCACACTCAGCCAATCAGGACGCTTTTAGAACCACACTCAGCCAATCAGGACGCTTTTAGAACCACATTCAGCCAATCAGGACGCTTTTAGAACCACACTCAGCCTCCTGAAAACCAAATGTTTTTCATGTAACCTTCAAACTTTTCATCCTTTGCTGAGGAATTTCATGTACAAATTTATCAAACAACTTAAAAATAAGAGCTCTGATAACTGCAACATACGGATATTAGATTCACTTCTAGCTTTTTGAAATATTGGAATAATAATCTGCTTTGTCATGGAAATGTCCTTTTTTACGTGATGATTTATTCATTTCATTTTATTTTTCCAGATTATATGGAATACTTTTCATCTCAAAATGAAGACAAATAAATTTATATCCTGGTAGTTTGGTCATTTTGTACCGAGGCTCTAAACATTGAATGAAATGAATATTTCATAAATATTTTTGTTTTTGAAGCTTTACTCTCAGATTTACTCTCAGACACAAAAAATCTCAAAAATTTAAAAAAACTTATTTAGTGGCTTTGTAAAAATTCTTAGAAATGATTTTTCCAGAATGAATGACGATGAGACTTCAGAACCAGAACCGAGCCATTACTGGACGGTACCTGCACACAGGTGACCAATCAGAACGAGGCTCTGACGAACTGAAGCTTTTGACCAAAAAAAAAAACACGTCACCGTCCCTGCTTACGTCATCTAATTCCTCACGTGAAAACCCGTTTTCCACGCAGCTGAAGCGTCACGTACAGACAGCTTTCATCAGCCAATCAGAAGGCTCTCCGCCAGCTGCTCCTAATTTGCGTTTTTTCCCCAATAAAAACATTTTAGATCAGTTTCTTTAAAAGAGCTGCGTGGTGACGTCATGCCTTTTAAGAAAATTAAACGAGATCAACGAAAATCAGAAAATAAAATGTGAGATTTACTGTGACTATCAGCGGCGGCCTGCATCCTCCTGCCCGACCCGAACCCGAACCCAGCCGAACCCCACCAGAACCAGGCGGCTCCTACCTTCTGGGCCCGGTTCAGCCGTTTCTGAACGTTCTTCGCAAAGATTCCCGTTTTAATTTCCGCCATGATGCCTGGAGAGGACGCAGGATTAGAGAGGAGGCGGGAGGGAGGGGGCGCGTGTCTGTGAGCATGTCTGTGCGCGTGCGTGCAGGGGGCGTTTGAGAGGCTATCTGGGAGCTGATTGGCTGCGGTCAGTCAGAGGAGATGCTGGTCCTGGTCAAGAAGCTGCAGGTGAGACCAGAGGCGCGGGACGTCATGTCCGCAGCGCGCGAGGACGCACAGAAAGCGGACATGCGCAGTTTCACCCTCACGTTCATCAATAATGAAGTGGAAACATGAGAATCTTTTGTCCTGACGCATGAAGCTTCCTGCTGAGCTCCAGAAACCGGAAGGAGAAGCTGCAGACGTCGGAAGGATCCCGGAAGTTTCCTCGTAATAAAATAATCACAGCTGGTTCTGGTTCTGGTTCTGAAACAGATGCAGCTCTGACTGCAGTCTGGACAATGACCTCATGTAACCAGCAGGGGGCAGCAGAGAGCCGCCAGTTTCTGAACCCGAAGCAGAAAGTCAATTATTTTATTTTCAAAAAACATTTGCAGTCAAGAGGACCTGGTCCAAAGGTCAAGGGTCAGGGTTATAATCAACTTGAACACATGTCCAACATCTGCCGATTCGATTCACTTTATGGCCAGATCACCACCTCCAGCAGAACCAGAACCAGAACCAGCCTCAGGGTGAAAAGAAGCGCTGATCCAGAAGAACTCCGTGTCAGAAAGTAACTTCCTGTTCTTTGGTCAGAAGCGTTGGAGGCCGCAGCTGCAGCTGCAGCTTCATGCAGGACAGAAACGGGTCACAGAGACCCGGTTTGACTCAGACCAGGACAGGTGGGCCGCCAGGTGAGACGCTCATTCATGACGTCACTGTGATGGTTTGACTGCACAGACCAGGAACTTCTGATTGTCATGCTGCGGGCCTGGAAATAGAGGAGATCTATATCAGGTCCTCTGCTATTAACCATTTCTATAAATCACCTGGGACAGAATGATTGATGGAAATGTTCATTTTTACTCATTTATTTGATCCAGTCCTGCAAAAAGGATCCACTGCTTCTTATTCCAGACCAGTTTGAATGGCAGTTCTGCAGGCCACTGATTTAAACTCACACGTCACACAGTAACTTTGAAAACTTGGCTTAGATCCGTAAATATCCCGGATCAGATCGGACCACAAGTACTTCTGCAGCTCAGACAGAAGTCCTGTTGATCAGCTGATGGTGGAACTCGAGGAGTCGGCAGCTTTCCGTGTTCAGGAAGGAAAGACAGTCAGACGGACGATCCGATCGGTTTCACATTCCAGCTGATAAAAGCTCAAAATGTCACACTGTTTACAAAACGCAGGAAAAGTTCATTAAAGCAACATGTTGACTTTGGAGCGTGTCTTTTTTCTTTTTTGGACGGTCAGTAAATAACTTCTTGTTTTCTCAGCATCTGGTATGAAGAGGGAATCCAGTGAATCTAATCCAGATTGAACTGAGCCGACCAGCATTTCAGATCCAGAGTCAGAAAAGATTTTCTCAGGGGAGTCGGCTCCATGTCTGGGCAATGACACCCTCAACTTTTAAACGCATGAAAAAAGTCGCGTTAAAAAGTTGAATGCAAGTTTTCTTTTCCTTTTTCCGCTAAAGCAGTTTGAGTGTCTGGACATGATTTTACCTGCACAGCATTTTAGTTTTATGAGATGATTGATAAATACATGATGATGAATGACTGGTCCACATTTCTAGGAAAACAAGCATATTTGGTCACTGTTTGATCCCAAACAGAAAATCAAGGTCGTTTTGACGCAATTTGATTGGCTGATAGGTTTTTGTGTAGCGCTACACCGCCCCCTATGGGTTGGCTTGTTAGAAACGACGCTTCAGGTCAAATTGCTGCAGGATCTTGTGGATGAAAGCCTTTTTGTACCAGAGGACTTTATTTGACAGGAATCTGACAGGAAGGGAGCAAAGGGAAGGAAAGGGACGGGAGTCAAAGTCGAGATCTGCGGCCTCTAACCGCGGCGCAGCGCAACGCCACAATGAAACCGAGTGTCGGATGTTATTTATTTCATTGACGTGGAAGAGATATTAGGGTTCATTTAGACTCGGTGCATCTGCTCTCTGAGGTTCATTACAAGCTGCAACATGTCAACACAGCGCCGTGTTTGATTGACCTGGACTGGCTGTGAACTCCAATTGGTTATCTTTTATTTACCAGGCTGTTTCTGCTGCTCTGTCTGAACTGGGATGGCACCGAGAAATGTGACTTGCTCTCAACTTGCTGCTTCTTTCTGTCTCTTTTTGCTTGGATTGAATTAGGTAAACGGTTTTTGTTCACTCTGCTCCCTCATCCTCACTACAGAAAACTTTCAAACCGACTGAATTTATCTCCAAACTGACGGTTCTTCAGGCTCAGTGATGTGAACCTGATTTTCATAGCTTGTCATTTTCTTTGACCTTTGTTGTGTTTTATTTGTTGACGTCTTGAATCTTGATGGGATTTTATCCTGGCCAAATAAAAAAGTTACAGTAGAAGGTCTTTAATTTGTTCAGCTCAGATATTTGCATGCACCCTGTCTGGTCTGCTGATGGGTTGGAGGAACTTTCTTCTCCCGTTTTGCTTCCAGGTCTTCGATGGAAAGCTGCCGGCAGAAGTTTCAGATGTTGAGTGATTCCTCCGTCCTGCCGAAGCCGACAGGAACAGGTGAATCAGGCCTCAGGTGATGCTCTGTCTCCGGCTGTCGGCAGCAGAGGGCCTGCTGATGTCAGAAGATCTGATTCGACGTGGACTCACTCCATCTGCTCCTCTCCGATTATAACAAGTCATCTCCAGCCCAAAGATCTAGTTCACACCGACGGAGTTTCTCCTCCACGTGAGCTGACGAAGACGATGCTCTGATTCATCAGTGTGTGTGTGTGTGTGGTATGAGTGAATCAGGGATGCTGCCTTCCTCCTCTTCCCTCCTTCCTCCTCTTCTTCTGTCGTGACGTTGGATCAGGAGGAAACACCACAAACAGTCCGGAGATATTCTGAGATCCTGCCGAGTTGTGAGTGACTCAGAGGGAAATACCTCTGTGGACGGAGGGAGGAGTTTATCTGCTGGAGGTATAATTACTGTCAGAGAGCAGAGAGGGAGAGCAGAGTGACCCGGCTCAGTGTTTGCTCAGATTCAGAACCAGAGAGGACCGGAACCAGCACCAGAATCTCCAACATGACTGACTGATAGACCAGAACCTCTGGACCCAGCTCCAGCCTCTTAACTGCTTCATCTGCATCTCCACAAAACACTGGCTTTGGGTTCTAACTTCAGACTGCTGTCAGAACCAGAACCCGTCTGGATCGGCCCGTCCTGCTGCCAACTCTTCCCTCGGACCGGACCAGCAGCCACTGGTCTGACTGGACTGATTAGTCCTCTGCATCAAAACCGTTCAGGATGTCTTCTTGGGCTGCGTTGCTCTTTGCCGTTCCCGTCTTTCTTCTGATCGGCGCCTCGCCCCTGGAGGACGCTCCGTCCTCCGCCTGCCCCTCCTGCTCTCTGGCTCAGCTGAGGAAGAACTCGTCTTCGCCCGGCGCTCAGGATGACATGGTGGAGGCCGTGAAGCATCACATTCTGACCATGCTGCACCTGAGCGCCCGGCCCAATCTGACCCAGCCGGTTCCTCGTGCGGCGCTACTCAACGCCATCAAGAAGTTGCACGTTGGACGGGTTACTGAAGACGGCGCTGTGGAGATACCAGAGGAAAGTTTGGGTCCGGGGACATCAGTCACACCTGAATCTCCATCAGAGCTGATCATCTTTGGAGAACCAGGTGAGTCCAGAATCTAGTTTGGGTTCTATCAGCCGGTTTGGATCGGGTCCAGCTCGGGGCCAAAGGTCCTGGCTGGATCAGTCCTGGGTAACCGCAGGTTGCATGAAGCAGGGCTTCAAACTTGTGAACTGCTGTCATTGTGGGACTGCGAGGACAAGGCAGGTCCTGCGGCGCTGGATAGGATCCAGGCCGTCATCGACCGGATCGGCTGCATGGGAGACGTCACGTCCTCTCTGTCCTCCCTTATCGCTTCATTCACAAAAATCCCACAAGGTCAAAGTTTGTTTACAGATTTCTGTCAGATGGAAGGACTTTCCTCCATGTGGGGATCTGATGCCTGCAGGAATCAGTTCAGAGTGTCTGGATCCAGACAGGAACTAGAACCTTGTGGTCTGGTCGTGTCACAGTCCACATGGTTCAGATCCAATTTACCAGAACTTCAGTCCAGCTGGGTTTAAACCTCAGCAGATAGGCCATGGTTGGCGGTGGAGACGTTTACAGAACCGGGTCGGTCTCTTCAGTCCAGCATCTCAAATCAGAACAAAACATTACCTGGCAGAACAAGTGACCGGTTCTGTTTCCAGAGGAGAAGTTAAAGCAGAAGAACCAGGTTCTATAAATAGTTTCCCTGGTTCTGAGGTTCTTCACAGGCTGGCCCAAATTAACGGGCAGTAACGAGGCCGGGGGTGCGGGGCATACCGAGTGATCTCAGGCCGTAAATAATCCCTTTATTCAGAGAAATCTGGGCCTCAGTAATTATTCTGCAGCAGGAGACAAAGAGGACAGAGAGGACAGGGTGGACAGCGTCCCCGGCCTGTTTTAGGCTGTTTATATGGAATATATTTAGAGGCAAACATCCATTCATGCAGTTATTATAGGAGACTTTCCCTTTGTTGCTTCATTTCCATACGGGAGGGGTGAGCACCGCATGCCTTCAGCAGAACTAACATGTCGGCTGTTTTCCGCTGCAGGAGACTCTCCAAACACCGTGACCTTTGACGTGTCGAAGGAGGGCGGCGCTGCCAGGGTGGAGCAGGCCAATGTTTGGATATTCTTGAAGATGTCAAAGGTCAATCGGGTCCAAAGTAAAGTGGTGCTGCAGCTGCTGTGGACTCGCCGCGACGGTGGCTCCAACAAGGACGAGTTTGTTTCAGAGAAGATGGTGGACAGTCGGCGCAGCGGCTGGCACACGCTCGCCGTGACGCACGGCGTTCAGGCGCTGCTGGATGGCGGCGGTAGCTCGCTCGGCCTGCGGGTCTCCTGCCCGCGCTGCGCCGAGGTCGGGGCGGCACCCATCCTCGCGTCCGGCGACAGAGCGAAGGCGACGGGCCACGACCAGTCCCACCGGCCGTTTCTCATGGTGATGCTGCGGGCCGAGGACGAGGAGCCTCAGCGCAGGGTCAGGCGAGGTCTAGAGTGCAACGGAAAGACCCACGGTTGCTGCAAACGGCAATTCTACGTCAACTTCAAAGACATCGGCTGGAGCGACTGGATTATAGCTCCGTCCGGTTACCATGCCAACTACTGCGAGGGGGAGTGCCCCGCCCACACGAGCGGCTCGGCGCTGTCCTTTCACTCGGCGGTCATCAGCCACTACCGTCTGCGCGGCTACGCGCCGTTCCAGAACAGCAAGTCGTGCTGCGTACCGACTCGACTGCGCGCCATGTCCATGCTCTACTACAACGAGGAGCAGAAGATCGTCAAGAAGGACATCCACAACATGATCGTGGAGGAGTGCGGCTGCTCTTAGAGCATCCTTCCCGTCAGCACTCAGGTTCTCGCTGCTGCTCCACATTGGAGCGAGCCAGAACATTTGCCCTGGACCGGCCGATTGTTCTGATCCGGAGGAACCGGAGGTTCCGACCAGATGGAGGCCAATCATCGTAGAGTATTCCAACAGCTGTGTGAGGCGCAGGGAGACCGGACCCAGAAACCTTCTGGACGATCTCACATTCAGACCAAAAACAAGCCAACGATCAAAGTTTGTCCCGTTTTTAAAAAAATCAAAATGAGACAAAAATCTGAAAAACACCTGAACTGTTTCTGGGTCTGCTCTAATTTATTTACATCGTTTTGTCATTAAACTGTGATCCAACATGTTGTCTTGGTTTCTTCATTCAGTCTTTTCATATGGACAGCTATCCCTGAAAAAACGGTTCTGCTGATCCAGATCATCTTCTGGATCAGAACCAGAGAAGCTCAGAAGTCAGAAAGTGTTTGAACTGGTTCTAGAGACAGATTTTGAAGCCGATCCATCCCAAGCTGCTTCTACCAGAACCCGACCCACTCCTCTTGGTCCCCTTCTCGTCCAGTCCTTCTCTGCTCTCTGATTGGTTGCTGGAGCCCTCAAATGGTTCTGATGGTTCCATCCAGTCCAAAGTCAGTGAGAGCCCAGCAGGGGGGGGTAAACATGCAGTAAAACTACAAACATGGCTGATGATTCTCTTCTGACTGTCCATTATTATCTTACAACAGGAACTCAAGTCGGTTGACTTCCTGTCACATGATCATCCAGGGAAGAGCGCCACCTGGCTGCAGACTACCTGACTCGTTGTTCAAACAAAAACTGCAGCCAAGTGCTGTAGCAATGACGTCATCTTCTGACCTCTGACCTCAGATCAAATGTTTGATCAATCAGACAAACAGTCCCAGTTTGTTGACTGGGAGCCCGGAAACTCACGCAATGTTTGCCCAGCAGAACCAGGCGCCTCCACACGGGTCTAACTGGGTTAACTGGGTTGACTTAACTGGTCACTAACTGGTCTAACTGGGCCAATCAAAATATAAACAGCCATCATTTGATGCAGGTGTGTTAAACTGCACTGACCAAACACTAAATCTCTTTTTTTTTTTTCTTGATTTAGGTTCTGAAAATTTGCTCTTAATTATGTCTGTACATCCTGAAGAAAATCCAGTAACATCTGTACACCAGATCAGCTGCCATTTATAGTCACAGGTAAATACATTTGAATTCGTCTGTAAAACAATGAAAAGAGACTTTTTTAAAGATACAACCCAGAGGCAGAAGATACAAAAAAGAACTGGCGCTAATATTGACCCAGACGTAGCACAGCATCCTTCAGAGTGGTAGGAAAGCATCCAGACCAGAGAAGCATTTACCATTTTAACACTACATGGACCATGAGTGATTGTTTCACACAGAAACTGGAACAGAAGGTTCTGGAGGAGAAACCATTGAGTGGGATGGACCACCGGTAGCTGAAATGGCTGATGTGAACAAATCCAACCAATGGCTGGAGAGCAATAGAGACCCAGACTGACCAGACCAGGCAACAGACCAGAGGCCGGCCATGCAAAGAGAAGCCAGAATCAATCCCACATCCACAGAGTGGAAGACACTAGCAGGAACACCTGGAACGCCGTAACCCAGTGGTGACCAAAATATCTGTGTAGAGTATGACCTGGAGACCCAAAGGTCAGTTTGGGGAACCACCTCGCAAGAATGACCGAGCTAAGGTCATGTGGCACAAAAAGTCAACTAACCAAACGTGGTGTCCGTTGGTCAGTGCGTCCGGTCAGAGGAACAATGTGAGGAATGTGACCTTCCAAATGATGGAAACATCAGGGAAAAGGAGCAGGAGAAACACTGAGGGCAGGCAGGAACTGGAAGGAGGCTGGCAGGTGACGGCTGGCCTGGGTTCCCATTGTGTCTCTACTGGACCAGAGTGCAGAGCCACTGGAAACTGTTCCCAGGACAAAGCAGACTGGAGCAGCGCCATGATTTCTGCTGGCCTTCGCGCCAAGCAGAGAGTTTCGGGTGAGCCTCCAGATAACAGTCAGTTAACCTATCAGAGGTTAGTGGGAAGAAATCCAAAATATTTGACCCAAATCATGCAGTTCAATAAAACTAGCTCTTATCCTGATCAAATTTATGTAAACTTCCAGATTTGAAGACACAGAAAAATGATTGACTAGTATCTGACATGAAACTGAAGAAAAAGAATGAGAAGAATTCAGTGTATGTAAACTTATGGTTTCAACTCTACTTTTATTGGATGCAAATATGCAGTGTTGGATTTTTCCTAGTTTATTTCTTCACACTTTATATCTGTGAGCTGGAAACAAATTCCTTGTTTGTGCCTCAGTTTGAGCAATAAAACTGGTTCTGGTTCTGAAGAACATTAAAGCCGTGGTCGGGTTACGGCGCCGACGTTTCTAACCAGAAAATCTTTTCTGTGCCAACATCTGACCTCCTGGGGCCTGCAGCAGATGTTTGAGGCCGTGTGTCCAGGTGTGTCCAGGTGTGTCCAGGTGTGTCCAGCTGTGACCTGGAGCTACAGCTGGGCTCAGGTGGGTCACTTTGCTGTTCTCTATTCTAGAATCCGCCTCTAGTTCTACGTTGATCCTGCTTGGACACTGCAGTTCAGTGTCTGATGCAGCGAATTCCTCAGATTTGATGTCACTTATCAAAAACAGACAATGTGCGAGCGCCCTCTACTGGATGATTGTGGAAATGTCCTCTGATGTCGGACGAGGTCCAGCCTGGGTGGACCAGATCCGCCAAGTATCTCTGGTTCTGGATCAGACTGGACGGGAATTGGAGTAGACCGTTGCTCTGTGAGAACATCCCGCTGTTTGTTTTACACATGATGATTTTTTCGGTTTATAAGAGGAGTTTAAATACGGGCTGATCCGTCTCTTATAGTTGCAAGTTTCAGCAGGTCTGCTCAGATCCTGAGTTGTTGGTTGTCCAGTTCCTGAGAATCACAGTGCCCTCTGCTGGATGAGGTCAGACACTGATCATTGCTTTGAATTTGATTTTAATGTCCAGTTTTTCTCTGTGGGGAACATCTGAGCTGGCAGAGATGTGTGAACTCGCAGACATCCAGAGAAACGTGATGAGAGGTGGACAACCATCATGTGAGTCAAACTCAAGGATCTATTTTTTGTGTGTGGGTGGCCGCAGGACACGTCAGCGTTGTTAGCCGAGAGAAGGCCCGCTAACCTCGACGCCACCTCCAACACAAACTGCTGCTGCTATTCACAGACATTCACCCCCACAGAGAGCTGCTAAATCAGACCTGCATGTTTAGATCGCAGCAATCTGTGCCTCACCTGGCGGCAGAACACATCCTCCGAGTCTTTAGAGGAAAAGGTTTCCTGTCTCTCTCCGATACTTCAACTATTTCTCCTGTAAAGGCAAAAATGTCATTTTCAGACTGGAATCCTGAGTTCTTCAGTCCTAACTCCTAAAGCTGGGAAACACCATCAGCCCCCTGAAGACCAAAGGAAGACTAGCAGAACCTGACAGCAGGTTGACAAAACCTCTGCTGAGGGTACAGTCAGGACAGGAGTCCCACAGGGCCTGTCCAGATCCTGTCATTGAGTTTTTGGGTGATATTCTGACTAAGGTTAAAGGTTTGGACAGAAGTTGATTGTGTTTGTTCAGTCCATGAGAGCAGAGTTTGGTTGGATTCAGTCCTTCACTGCATCAGGCAGGAGTTCGCCAAACAGCAGCCGACAGAGACTGAATGTTGTTTGACCAATGTCGTCCATCTTCTTCCGCTTATCCGGGTCGGGTCGCGGGGTCAGCAGCTTCAGAAGGGAGGCCCAGGCTTCCCTCTCCCGGTCCGGGAATCCCACGGCGTTCCCAGGCCAGCCGGGAGACATCGTCCGTCCAGCGTGTCCTGGGTCTTTCCCTGTCACATTAACCAATGGTTCCTGCTAATTAGGTGACTAGTTAGTTTTACTAAAATAAAGTTGGAAATGCTCCCTATTTATTGTATTCTCTTTTTGACACTTATTGCATTTACATCGTTTTATTTTTGTATAATACATGGTTGACTTGCGGTTTTTAATTTGATGCTTTTATTTTGATAAGAGGGCTTCCTTTGTTTATATTGTGGAATGGCAGCTTAGCAACAGAAAGAACAGAAGACAAGTTGCAACAGGGTAAAAATGTATCTTTGCAGAAGGTGTTTAAGGTGGAACTCTTTGCAGAAGGTGTTTAAGGTGGAACTCTTTGCAGAAGGTGTTTAAGGTGGAACTCTTTGCAGTAGGTGTTTAAGGTGGAACTCTTTGCAGAAGGTGTTTAAGGTGGAACTCTTTGCAGTAGGTGTTTAAGGTGGAACTCTTTGCAGAAGGTGTTTAAGGTGGAACTCTTTGCAGAAGGTGTTTAAGGTGGAACTCTTTGCAGAAGGTGTTTAAGGTGGAACTCTTTGCAGAAGGTGTTTAAGGTGGAACTCTTTGCAGAAGGTGTTTAAGGTGGAACTCTTTGCAGAAGGTGTTTAAGGTGGAACTCTTTGCAGTAGGTGTTTAAGGTGGAACTCTTTGCAGAAGGTGTTTAAGGTGGAACTCTTTGCAGTAGGTGTTTAAGGTGGAACCCTTTGCAGTAGGTGTTTAAGGTGGAACCCTTTGCAGTAGGTGTTTAAGGTGGAACCCTTTGCAGTAGGTGTTTAAGGTGGAACTCTTTGCAGAAGGTGTTTAAGGTGGAACTCTTTGCAGAAGGTGTTTAAGGTGGAACTCTTTGCAGTAGGTGTTTAAGGTGGAACTCTTTGCAGAAGGTGTTTAAGGTGGAACTCTTTGCAGAAGGTGTTTAAGGTGGAACTCTTTGCAGAAGGTGTTTAAGGTGGAACTCTTTGCAGAAGGTGTTTAAGGTGGAACTCTTTGCAGTAGGTGTTTAAGGTGGAACTCTTTGCAGAAGGTGTTTAAGGTGGAACTCTTTGCAGAAGGTGTTTAAGGTGAAACTCTTTGCAGAAGGTGTTTAAGGTGGAACTCTTTGCAGAAGGTGTTTAAGGTGGAACTCTTTGCAGAAGGTGTTTAAGGTGGAACTCTTTGCAGAAGGTGTTTAAGGTGGAACCCTTTGCAGAAGGTGTTTAAGGTGGAACTCTTTGCAGAAGGTGTTTAAGGTGGAACTCTTTGCAGAAGGTGTTTAAGGTGGAACTCTTTGCAGTAGGTGTTTAAGGTGGAACCCTTTGCAGTAGGTGTTTAAGGTGGAACCCTTTGCAGTAGGTGTTTAAGGTGGAACCCTTTGCAGTAGGTGTTTAAGGTGGAACTCTTTGCAGAAGGTGTTTAAGGTGGAACTCTTTGCAGAAGGTGTTTAAGGTGGAACTCTTTGCAGAAGGTGTTTAAGGTGG